AGTAAATTTAAACATTAGAGTTAAATTAGATAAACGAGTAATGTTGATAAATCAAATTGAGTAAATTAGATAATTAGGAAATATATTTTAAATTTTAAACTTTATTTTTAATATGATATTATTTTTTTCCAATTTAGTAGTAATTATATAAAATGATAATCATTATAATAATCATTATTAGAATTATACATGTTTAAAGATTCATTTATTCAAAATAAGAATATATTTTTCATTAAAAAAATGAATTTAATATAAATTTGTAATTCGAAAAATCGGACCGAATTAACTCGCAATCCATATCCAACTCGACCAAATCAACCCTATATTTTCATATGCACAACATCCAATGTTTCAAATGAATTTCAAAAATATAAATACACTAAATCTTCTGTGTATATTTCTTTAATGGATAACAAACTTATTTTTAAAAGTAAATTCAAATATATATATATATATCTTACATCTAAGTTTTTTTTTTCAGATGATGAAAGTGTATTAACTTTTTAGTAGAAAAAAAATCATCGTTCATAAAAAACATATTTTAAATACATAAGTATTTTAATAATTTTTATTTTTAATTTAAAAAAAAATCAGAAACATTCACCTAACTCTAATTACATTCTTCACTTATCGAACTTGTTTCTCTTTCACTCACACATCCGAAGATCATGAAACGTCTCTAAAAAGCTCTCTAGGCCAATTACCGTTTCCTTGGGATGTAATTATGCTTATGAAAATTTAGAGAAAAGTCCAACCTAAAAATATAGTAAAATAAAATAAATATGAATAATGATTTTTCACACTAGTAACGATTCTTTTGCAAATCAACATGATTCTAAAATTCTAAAATTCAAAAACGAAATTTAATAACAAAGAAAAGATATAACACAACCTTTCAATCAAAAATAAAAAATCAACATCATCAATTATTTTGTTATTAAAGTCACAATAATCCAAGAGATCTAGATCATGAATATGGAAATGAAAATTTTGGAAGTTCTTCCTTACAATAAAATGTCAACAATCAGCAAAAAAAGTTTCTGAGTGGTTCTTTGCTGCCTGATAATTTTCTTTTTTCCAAAAAGGTTTTCAGTAAAGTTTTGTTCACTTGAATGGATTTTGGGAAGAGTGATTGAGGAGGTTTGAGAGGATTTGAAGGTAAATTTTTTTGTTTATTTGAGTGGATTTGGAGGTAAGTGAGAGTGAATTTGGAAGTAAAGTTTGTGAGAATTAGTATAGGATTTGATTGATGTGACAGATTAAAAAATTTACTTCCAAATTCACTCTCACTTACCTCTAAATTCACTCAAATAAACAATCAAAACTTTACCTTCAAATCTTCTCAATCATTCTCTCCCAAACCCATTCAAGTGAACAAAGACTAACGGAGACCTTAGAACTTATCATTCTCAATCACTTTCTTGGAAATGAAGAATTTTTTTCAAAAGGATTTGAGCAAACTGAATTGTCCAAAATTTGTAGCTACTACACATGTTGCCCAACGTCTGTGACACTGTGTTTTGTGCTTATCTTTATCACTTTTATATTTTGGATTTTATTTAACATACTGTACAGTTGCACTGGTTTTATTAGGAAATGAAACATGATTACTAATAATTTCTGAAAATTTGGTATATGCCGAAAGTTTGGTTTTATTGATACGAGATTGTGAGAATATTAGTTATTTTGTTAATAAAGTGATAAACAAATAAACAACATAGTAAAAAATTGCGATGTGGAAAAGATAGGACGAAAATGAAAAAAAAAACAAATAAGATAAATAAGAAAAATGGATTAGGAATTAAAGTATATCTTTTTAATGAATGAGTTTTGTTTATTAAAATTTAGTATACTTTTATTAAAATATATCAATTAAAAAAAAGTTACATAAGTTAAGAAACCATATATATATATATATATATATATATATATAT